TCTGCTTTGGAAGTTATTTTCTCTAAACCTGAGAAATTAAATTTATGCTGATGGGAGCATATTGAAGGGTTTTAGTAAGGCTATAATGAAACAGTTTCCTGTGACATTGGTTTCTTTTTTGAAACAGTTTCCTGTGACATTGGTTTCTTTATTGTCCCATTGATGAATTTGGTTCTTGGCTCACTCTCATTTGCCGTTATTTTAAGGTTTTGATTGTTGTTTCTGTTTCTTACTTGTGTTCTTCGGAGAGTCCTAATCATTATATAATGTTTATTTCAGTGTAGATGCATTAGTTGACATGTTTATTTTGGCAGGTTGAGGAAGCTATTGTCTCGAGGCTCTTGTCAGGCAAGTGCAATCCTAGTATGTTGAAGGTGAGACAAAACCCAGAAGGTTTATTTGAATTCTAGCTTGAATATGATAGCAAAAAGTAGAGGAACTCATCTGGTTTTAGTTTTCAGAAGCTTGGTTATTGTTTGGCTTTGCTACCAAAATCAAGAGGGGACGAGGATAGCTGGGTATTGATGATGCAGAAGATCATGCTGTCAATCAATATTCAGCTGAATGATGTCTTCCAGGGTCTAGAGAAAGGTGATTTTCAGATATTGATTGCTATACTTACTAATCATGGCAAGAGCTCCAACTGAGATTCATCTTTTATAAATATATTTGTAGAAACTATAAGAACTGAGGCCATGAGATTGCTGCTTCCCCCTGGGAAAGACCCACCGCCTCCATTAGGTGGCCAATCTTTGTCTAGAGGAACTGTAGACAATACAATGAGGCCTGAGCACTTGCAGATCTCCAGAATCTCTACCCTGATATTTTGTTGTTGTGAATTGCTTACGAGTTCTTACCCATTTCAGGTTAGAATCTGTGGTCACATTCAAATGGGGGTTCATGATTAATTTATTTCCGTACATGTGGTGTGAGTTTAGAAGCAGTTGGAATTATCTTAATTTTTTTCTCTTGCTTACTAGGTTGCTATACATGTACTTCCATTAATAGCTCTTGCCAAAAGAGTGCTGATGGTTGATGGTTCCTCATCACCAGGCATCGCCTATATGACTACAATGAAACAAGAATTTTTTTGTTCAGAACTCCCAGTCTTGCATTCACACATATTGGATCTTCTTACATCAACTGTTAAAGGCTTGGGCAGGTGAGCTTTTTTTTTTTTGTTGTTGATAAAGCTAAAGCTGCAAAAATAAACTGAGGCAAAATATGAGGATATCACTTTGTATTATGATTAAGGTAGTGGTTAAAAATTATGGTAGAGAACTAGTACATACTTGGACACAATGCTCTCAAACTTTATAACACATTTTTGGCTATTTACCCCGTGCTTGGATCCATAACACCAGTTCAAAAGCAAAGTCCATTACATTTTTTTCAATATTTGGTTGATTATTTTATTATAGTTCCCCTTTCCATGTTGGACAATCTATTCAAGGATACTAGTGCTAAGACTGGACTGCTTGTTTCTCTCTTATGCAGCCAGTTGCTCCCTCATGTTGGCTCTATCATACGACTCCTAACCAACTACTTTGAGACGTCTACTTTGCCAGAGCTAAGGATAAAGGTGTATTCAATTATGAAAGTCCTGCTGCTGTCACTGGGGGTTGGTAGGCATTTTAAATTTTCAACAAGTTTGTACTTCTTTTGGCATTTGTTATGCTCATAACCAGCTGCCTAACTTAGAGGCTGGGTTGTCTGTGTGCATTTCACTAAATGCTCATAAGCTCTGCATATTTAGCTGAGATAGTAAATACTTCCCCTGACCCATTTTATGTGGCACCCCTTCTTTTTTTAGCCTGTCCCAAAAAGAATGCCACTGACTAGTTCTCCGAGCTGCTGTGCATTTAGTGGATTGGTGATTTTGATAGTGGTTGTGATTGATTATAAGTCTCTCACTGACTGCAGCAATTTTAATTTTGCAGGGATATCCACACACCTCACTGATGTGATTGTTAACAATTCATTGATGGATTTAGATGAGAGAGGCACATCTTCTGTTGCACAACAGAATATATATCCAGACTCTACAACAAAGACTTCCAACAAGAAGAGGAAGCATGCAAGTACAAGTAGTTCTCTTGATGAGCAGTGTGATAAAGATGTTTTTGAAGTGGAAGTGTGCTCAAACATGGCTTCATTATCTGTTAAGATAGCTGCACTAGAGGCATTGGAAGCCCTTCTTGCTGTGGTATGCTTAATGTTCCTCTCACTTGGGACTACTTTTGAACAAATGTGGTTTTTAAGAGATGAAATCATCATATTAAAAATAGTTTTCAAAGAGTTGCAAGTTGATTTTTAATATCATGAGGGTCAAAGTCAGAAGATAAGATTGACTTTTTGATCAATTCATTCTTTAATATCATAAAAGCAGGGTCTAATTTGGAAGTAGAATATCATGTAAGAAAAAGTATTGGGAAGTGTAAAAAAAAGAAGTTTCATGTTAGAGAAAGCTGACATCTTATTCGGGCAAATCAAAATAGAAAGTAGGGCAGTCAAAAAGGGGAGTGACAGGACATTTCTAATGCCTGGTAATCATTTTTTTTAATGAAAATGCTTCAACAGTTATTAGAGAGAATATAGGCATTCCCTAAATATGCACACGTAAAGAATGTCTAATGCATGTTCTTCAAGTATACTTGTTAAAGCTTGGCTCTCCACCTGCATTGTTGTCTGGGTGCTTTAGAGGTTGAAAAATTAATGTGAATCAGATTTGTGGTTAGAGTAAAGTATTTTCTAGTTATTATGTTGTGAAAGTGCCACTTCCTTTCTCTTGGGGAAGATTTTAGCGTAGGGTTGCCTAATTCTTGAGATAACAATTTATGTTTGTGGGTGAATGAGCTGATAGTGAAAGTAGTACTCTGCAACTTTGTTTTATGACTGCTTGAGGTCTTTTTTTGTCATTATATTCCTAACAGCCTATGGAATTGTTTTTTCTTTTTACCTCGCCTGCTTGTCCTTATCCTTAATCCATGTACTAATTATAATTCTGGATAATTAAATAATATTTTAAGATATAGTGAGTACATGAAGATTTGATACTCGTTATATGATGCTATGCGATGGTGCCTAATTTATAAGTTTAGGTTGTGCACAATGTAATAAGTAAATAAAAAAATTGGAATATTTTGTGACCCATGTAATACTTCCTCCTCCCTTCCTCCCCCACACAAATGTATCCTATATTATCCACTTTTTCTCCTTTTTACCTGTCTCCAAAAGTTGTTCTTGATGGCAAGTATCTTATCTTTGTCATTTCAAGGGTGGTTCTAGGAGGTCCGAAAGTTGGCGAGTAAATGTTGATCACCTTCTTTTGGATGTTACCAGAAATGCTTCTAAAGGAGGGTGGGCCAAGGATGGCAGAGGCAGTTTAGTTTCTAAGTCACCAACCAGTATTTGGGGAGACTATCAAATTGCAGCTTTACGAGCACTTCTGGCTTCTCTCCTCTCTCCTGGCCGCACTCGTCCACCCCACCTATCTCAGGGGCTTGAACTTTTCCGCAGAGGTAAGGATGCAATTTTATTGAGGTGATTGGACAGATTTTTCTTTAAAAAGCTAGAGATCTTCTATGCCATACCGGGCATGGCTGAAACAAGTTCTTTAGACAATAGCAAGTAAGAATTGTGCGCATGAAATTATTCTATTAATCAAGCTACTGTGTGCCTGAGCCATTCCTTGTCTGCTTCTTCTGTGTCATATGCTAAATGTACTAAAAACTTACTCCGATAAGGTAGAAGTGAATATCTAGAGAGGGGAATTTAAACTAGTAGATATATAGACATGGCAAGAGCGGAAGATCTGTTGAAATTTTAATGTCATAACAATGTCAGTTGCATAGCTGTGAGACTGCAACTTTTAGATGTTTGTCCTAGCAGTTGCTCTCGAAATGATTGAGGTAGTGGCTAGAGAGAGAGAGTTGCTTTCTATTTAAAATCCCATTATGCTACTAACGCATTGAAGAACATTTACATCTAAGAATGATTTCGCTGTTCGCACCTCGTACTTCCCTTGCCCTAGTTTAGCATCCTTCCAATTTTTTGCAATCTGCTTAAATGGATAACCTATTGTTAATTTGGTGTTGGCAGGGACTCGAGAAATAGGAACTAAAGTTGCTGAATGTTGTGCACATGCTATTTTGGCATTGGAAGTGCTTATACATCCCCGAGCTCTTCCATTGTTAGATCTTGAGTCCACTGACAACAATTACGAAGTTGGAAATAAGTGGTTTTCAGGGAATGTAAACCTCAGTAACCGTGCAGCAAATAACACATTCCACATTGGCACATCCAGAAAGGCCCCTGACGAGCCAGACTCTTATAATGATGACCTTTATGCAGATTGGATGCGAAACGGTGAAGATGTGGTTACTGTGCCAGCTGATCCTGCAAAAGATACAGATACAAGTAATCAACCACCAGAAACATTAAGATATCCATCATCAGAAAAGCTTCCGTCTTTTGATACTACTGCAGTAAAAGTTTCTGAAAGCAGTAAATTGCAGCAAGTAGCACCTATTACTGCTGCTAAGAAAAGCCCCATGGACAGGGATGAGATCATGGTTGAATCACAACTATCTCAAAAAACAAGTAAACATTCTGAAGATCTCCTACCATCTAAGAGTAATGTGGTATCTCCAGGATCAGAAAATATTACGGACAACGCATCAAGAAAGGAAGTGGCACAAGCTAGCGATGCTGGATTTACTTCGCCGCTGATGATGAATTTAGACAGAGGTAAAGAGTTGATGCATGAATCTGATAATGAGTCCATGGAGTCAATTCCTGATATTGTTGATGTTGAGCCTGATTCTGATTAGATAGAGAACAGAGCCTATACAGTGGTCCATATTATATTTATTATGTCTCATATTGGGTGGAAAATTGCATTTGCCTGTCAAAACACCTGGCTTTTTCTCTCAGAGGGAGATTAGGGAGGAGTTGATTTATCTATCAGGATTTACCACTTCCATGGTCGCGGTAGGGGATTGAGATGTTTTTTTTTCTCGATTTATGCATGTTATCCTTGCATGCGGGGTCGTGCTAATTTTCTCTGTATCATTCCAATTTAAGCCAAAGTGTAAGCCACTAGGTTTTGGATTTTGAATTCATTAGGTAGATTGGATAGGAGTTTTTCATTTATCTGTGTTTCAAAGGTCTTGTGAGTCTGTAAGTTGTACTATCCTATTATTAAGATGAATTCCAATACAATCCTTGACAAGGATGCCAATTTTGAAAAGAGTGGATATGGTTTTTAATTTGTTTTCTTAATTAAAGGTGTTGAATTTTCTGAATACAGATATATTTTAATGAAATTTTAGGGCAAGCATTGTTATTGTATGTCTCTCCTAATTATTTTTTAAATTTTGTAATTTTTTTTGTTGCTCGATTATCGTATTTTCTCCATTAAAGTTGTGATTAGATCAAGGAATTTTGCGAAATCACTCGCATAGTCTTGACGAAGGGGTAATAAGTATTTCTTTATTCATAATCAGAAGTCTTGAATTTGAACTCTAGATATGAGTCAGTCGTTTTTGATAGGGAGATGGGTCTTTCGATACAAATTAAATTAGTTAAATCTCAAAATGCATATAGGTATTTAATCAAAAATCCCGAATCTAAGTATGAGTTGCCTTTGGTGGGGATTGTTACCCCCAAATGGGACTTCCCTTTTCAAATTTGAATTGTAAAGTTGCAAAATGAAAAATATACACTAATTATGAAAATAAAAGGGATAATGTAAAAAATACATTCTCAACCTGTGCTCGAAATATCAGAGACACACTTATACTATACTAAGGTTATTACCACTGAATTTATTTTATAAGTAATTTTTGATCCCTTCGGTACGTGACACTAGCTTGAAAAAAAAAGTCAACTAGCGTTGAACCCACAAAATAGTGCCACGTAGGTCAAAAAGGGGTAGAAAATTATTAATAAAAGAAGTTCAGGGGTTAATAGGACATTAATTTAGTATAAGTATATCTATGAGATTTCGAACATAAATTGATAAGATACTTGTGTATTTTCCCAAATAAAATAAAATTGTGAAATAGTCAACTCTGGCCTACTAATTAGTGGTACTCCTAATGGCTAAATAAAGTCAATTAAGAAGTGTGATTACTTCAACAAAGTACAAATTGAACTGCCTTCGACGGCTCAATTGATCCTTTATTATTACTCGACTACGGAATGGTTGTCGCAGCCTCAATCGTCACTAAAAATCACTCATACTTTTTATTGGTAATAACTGGGGGTTTTGTGGTGATGTTTATCGCCGTTAAAGGTTTAGTTCTTTTGTAGTAAGTTCAAGTTGGCAATGCATAGGTGAAGGGATTATTTCCATGTATCTTGCCACGTCACTACAAAAATTGGATAGCTAACTCTCAAGGATATTTGTGGTCTATTGAAATAACGACGGGGTATTTTCGATTTCAAAATGTAATGGAGAGTACAAGTACTCTATTTCGCATTGTTCAGATATATTGTATGAATGTAGAGAGTTGCTCTAGCAGATGATGAACCCTCTTATAATGATTAATATTATTAATTTATTACTATATACTACCGTCTTTTACCCTTAAGAAAAGGGCATAAGAAGAAGGCGGAGAAGGAGAAGACCGTTCAGACGGAAGCTTAAATATGTTGAACTATAATTGTAATAGTAACAATTTTTAATAAATACTGAGTGTCTACAGTACATAAATACTTGCTAATTGTATATATAAATATTTGAGAAATTGATATACATATTCATCCATCGAAATAATAATCAACACATATATTTTTTTTTGTATTTACCATATAATATACATAAATAATGAATGTAATTATTTTTAGGTCATTTGACATACTAAATAGTTTTGCCATCTTTTTTGAAAATGGCATAAAATTTATATAAAAGCGTAAATTTATTTTTCAAATAAATGATATATCCCAATTTTTTATGATCTTCTAAAAAAAACTAGTATTTCATCCATGTTATTTAATTTTATACAATGATATTTGACATCACAGGAAGTTAAAATATTAATTCAATTTGTATATTATAGTACTAATAGGAAAATATTATTCAGTAAACCATATCTTTTTTTTATTGATAAATCGCATTACACAAACGTGTTTTACTCATTAGCGATTTTCAATCCATTTCCTTGTATTTTTGAAGAGTTGAAAAACCGCTTAATAATTGAATTTAGTGTACTTGGATGTAACTACTTGACGTATTTGATTGATTATGTAATTATATGGTCAACAAATGCGGAGCTATGTGGGGTTCGTCTGTTCGAACGAATCCAATAACTTTTCTGTATATCCTATACATATACTAAAAAATTAAATAATATATATTTATATAAATTTGTTAACCCTTGACAAAATTGATTGATGGTTCAGTTGTAATGAAGAGACCATGAAAATGTTTATCACGCTAGAGTTATTTCTCTGAATTCCTCTCTTTTTTTTAAACAAAAAATTTAAAATTCCCAAAATCATATGAGTTGCTTTTAGTAGGGATCGTTATCCAAAATGAAAAATATATATCAATTGCAGAATAAAAATTAAAAAAAATATTTTATATATATACAATATAATTTTTCGATTAAAAAAATTTCCGATAAAAAAATACAATAATCGAAAGGAGTTAATAGCTGTCATAATTTGACATCAAGAGTGTGATTTTAACAAATATATTGCCACATGTGAGAAAGTTGGTGCAATGGCATTCGGCCATCCATCAATTTAAGACTACGTTTGGATAAATTTTTTTGGTTTATAAATTAGGATTTTTAACTTATTATTTTAGTTTTTAAAAAAAGTATTAAAAAATTATTTTTATTTTTATTATATAAATGCTACAAAAATATTTACAAATTACTTGACTTATAAATACCTAAATATATAAGCAGTCCCCAAGTCCAATACAATGCACTTTGATCTTAAAGATTTTTAATTTTTTAATTACGAAATACATTTTTTTAAAAATATTTAGACTATATATTATTCTGTATTTTGTTTTGTTTCTGCCTAGGCCAAATCTCTATCTTGGCTAATTTAAATAATTATAAAACGATGATTTTTTATTAATTAAAAAGCAAAGCTCAAAGACCAATGTGTACTGTGTAGCAACAAAAATTGAAATAAATTTTAGATTTCCTCTTTTTTTTTTTAATTTTTGTTTTTGTTAATATTATAACTAATAACTCATATTTGCTCATTCAATTAGAAAAATACATTTTAATTTTTTATTTAAGTAATAGTTTTTTCGTATCCAAAGTTTTATTTTTTTTATCTTAAGAGCAAAATACTTTTAATATTTTCAGGGCTTAAACTTAATAATAATAAATAAATAGTATGCTTTAATAAGGATATCTAACCCAAAAAAAAACTTAACATGCTTTCTAGAGAATATTTTTTTTCTAGAAAATAATATAAACTTTTATAACGACAATCTTCTGCGAACTATTGTTGTTTATTAAATTAATATAAGTATTAACTCGAAGATAATTTTTTTAAATAGAAAATAATAATGCGATTAATTATAAGATATGAAACTTGAATTCTGTGATATTGATATCATAATTTTGATCTGATAATATATTAATAAAGCATCTCATTTCCGTATTTAATTTTTAACGTACTATTTTTTCATATGCATCAACATAATAATAATTGATAACGATATAATAATATTTACAAGAAATTTGCAATGTTTATAATATAGACAAATGAAAAATAAGTGTCTAACTCGAAAATGGCTCTTAGTGAAAGCTACTTATAAGTGTGCATGGTTGACTAATAAAATGACAAAACATTAATAAAACGTTGTAGTTTATGAACTTTTCCAAGAATTTAGTTAATTTAACCAATATAAACTTCCTCCTTTTTTTAAAAAAAAAATTAATAAATTTGACGTAATAAAAATGTGAATCATTTTGAGTAAATTATATGTTAAGAGAATCAAAATATCGAGATGATTTTACACTCTAAATTTTTATGCATGTTTAGAGGTGATTTTTATCATGTATAATCACTGGTCTTTTCATGTATAATTAAACCATATCCAACTTTTTGAGTGTATCATAATATATAGTCAATACATAACTCGTATCTTAAGTTACATTGTGTGGTCAATATTATACTTCCTAAAAGTTTTGACAAGTTATATCGTATAGTTATGTTATAATTTTAGCCATTTTTTACGTAAATAAAATATAACTATATTTATCGTAAATTAATTACTTTTATTATTATAAATATTCGAAACTATTCCATTTCTTCCCCTACTTTTGTTGGACACTTTGCTAATGATTATAGGCACTCCACAATTGAGTCACTTTCTTTACTCCAAAACAAAAAAGAGAATACATATATCCTTTTAAATTTATAATAATATTTATTTTAATAAATATAATATTCAGATAAATTATAATATTATACTTTATTATCAAATCTTTTTTTTATCGCACCAAATTAATATTAGATAAAATGAGATTTTTTGTTATTACGTAACGATAAATTTAAATATAGGACCATCCAAACAAGGTGTAAGTGTATTGCCAACGAGAAATAAACAATAAACAAACTTGTTTCTTATTCAACAATGGAGGTTGTTCCTCACTCACTATATTAGCAGCCATGGTTTTTTACATGTAGTATAAATAACTCTACCAAATACAAATTTAACACCAACCCACATTCCCATTTTTGTAGATCTAAATCCCCAAATTCGATTCTTGGGAATTAACGCCCTCAATTTTTTTTTCGCCATGGCAGCAGAACAATCAAAGAAATGGATTCTTATGGTGACTGCTCAAACACCCACAAACATAGCAGTGATTAAATATTGGGGAAAAAGGGATGAAAATCTTATTCTAGCTATTAATGATAGTATTAGTGTTACCCTTGATCCTGCTCATCTTTGTACCACAACCACTGTTGCTGTTAGCCCTTCTTTCCAACAAGATCGCATGTGGTTAAACAAAAAGGTAGCTTTTTTTAAAAAAAAAAAAAAATTCTTAGTTTAATTTGTTTGGTTGATTTATGTGATGGGGTAGGGGAACGGGAAATGGGGGAGGGGATTACAAGGTGGGAATCGAAACCTCGCCAACAAAGTAAAAGTTTTAGGTTGTCAATCGACTGAGCTATTAAGATTTGTGATTTTCCCTACAACAATATGATTTTGTACATTCTTAAAAGGGTAGGTGAGGATTACAAGGTGGGAATTGAAGCTTCACTAATAAGGTGAAAGTTCTTAGCTAACCGATTGAGCTACTAAGATTCCGTAGTTCCCCTACTGATGTGTACTTTTTAAAAAATAATAGTTGGGGGTAGGTGAGGATTATAAGGTGGGGATTCGAATCATCATTAACACTTTGAAAGTTCTTAGCTAATTATCTAAGCTACTAAGATTAACCATTGATTTATGTGATAGGGAACTGGTTTGGCAGCTGAGATGTTGAGAAAGTTCTGTTCTTGATGAGTGAAAAGTGGAGGACTAATTTTCTTTGTGTATTTGATAATAGAATGATGACTATATGTTGTTTTTTTGTAATTAAATGTGGGTGGATTATGTGAAAGAAGACTCCTTTTGAAAAGTTCAGTTCTTGACTTTCTCATTTTATCAGTGTGATTTTACTGAAATTGCTGATATGCATTTGTTCTGTAATTTATGTGGGTTGATTTATGGGAAAGAAGGCTGTATTGACAGTTCAGATGTGGAGAAAGTTAAGTTCTTGAAGAGTAAAAATTTCTCATTCTAATTTTTTCGCAAAACAATTGATGACTATTTGTTCTTGTAATTTTATGTGGGTCTGTTTATTAAAACAAGATATTTTGGCAGCTCAGTTCTTGAAGAGTAAAAATTTCTCATTTTCTTAATTTAAATTTATAGAATTTATGTGGATTGATTAACTTGAAACATCCTGAAGCTCAGGTATTGGGAAGATTCAGTTCTTTAGGAGTGTAATGTTTGTCTAGCTTCTGCTTTCAATTGTTATCTACAAGATCATATTAATATATTAACTGTTTTATGTCTTTTGGCTGTGTATGACTGCATGTAGTGGAATCAAGGAGGTACACGTGAAGATGATGAATCATATGAACTCTTAATACTTTCTGTAATTTTTAGTTTATTTGTTCTTCTTTAGGATGCATTTCTTGTTTAATGATGGATCGTGTCTTTGATTATCTTCTCTGCTTTTGCTACAGAAATTGGTTAAAATAGTTGTGCAGGAAATGTATAATTCACATTTGTGCAGTCTTCGAAAGCTGAGCTCATTATGTTTTCCCCTTTCCCTCCATTTCAAGCAATGAGAAAGATTTGTATGCTGCAGTTTTTTGTTGCTTTTTCTTGACATTTTTACATTGCTTTTGCTCGTTGTGTAGGAAATATCCCTTGATGGAGCCAGATACCAAAATTGTCTAAGAGAAATTCGAGCTCGTGCTAATGATTACGAGGATGAGAAGAAGGGTATCAAGATCAGTAAAAATGATTGGCAGAACTTGCATGTGCATATTGATTCTTACAATAATTTTCCAACTGCTGCTGGTCTGGCTTCCTCAGCTGCTGGTTTTGCCTGCCTCGGTATGATTAACCGTTCTCTTTCTTGTATTCTGAAAGTCACTCCTTTTTTTATTTCATTTATATTCTAATATCAAAGATCTAAGGATATCGGTGAATCTTGAATGAATCCTGAAAAGTAACTGGAGTACCACAAGTTGCACTTGATGCAAATCACAAATAAATCAAAACTTCTTTATAATTATTTTCATTTTTTTGCAACTTATTTTTCAGGAAATTATGTTCTGTAACTTTTATATGAGTGGCCATTTGAAGAATGTACTTGCTGATAAACTAGTGCATTTATTCTTGGTTTTCAGTTTTGTTGGATTCTAATTGATGTTGCCAACTTTTAAATATGTTATCTTCTTTGACCCTTGTCTGTAAGGATAGTAAACTGTCATTACGAAATTTATGAACTGTGTATTATGTCAGCCCTTCTTAAGAATTCATCTTCAGAGTAATTTTGAAAATGCTTTTCTCCAAGTGAATGTTTCTTTCTTGTGGGAATCTCTATTTTATCCATTATTACATTCCTTCTGAAAGTTTTGAGATGAGTACAACTTATGTCTCCGATATGCAGTCTTTTCCCTTGCGAAGTTAATGAATGTGCAAGAGGACAATGGGAGACTTTCTGCCATAGCAAGGTAAATTCATAACAGTCGTGAATATTTCGTTAGCTGGTCTTATTTTTCTATATGTTTTGTCTAGAAGACTAAAATTAGATCGAGGTAATAGCATATCAAACTGATCCTTCTTGATCTTACTTTCTCTTTTCTGCTCATTCAATAGCTATGAAAAATAAGAAACTGACACACTTCACTTATACCCACACAGGCAAGGTTCGGGAAGTGCTTGTCGAAGCTTGTTTGGAGGATTTGTCAAGTGGGTCATGGGAAAGGTATGTTGAGCTCCGACATTCTTGTGTTGTAGCTTGTCTCATATGCTCTCTATCTTTTCAGCGTGGTCTAATTCCTGTTGTGATGTGTGAAGGAGGAAGATGGTAGCGATAGTATAGCTGTTCCACTCGCAGACGAGAAACACTGGGATGAGCTTGTTATCATCATTGCAGTGGTATGTACTTCCCATCCAGATGTGGTTGCTATTCACCTTTCCTGGAAAGCTTGTCTATTCATGTGATTGTTAGGCATTGAGAAGAAAGAAAGAATCTGTGTTTATGTCTGTTTCTCCTATCTAGATTCGAGAATCTGTCTTCATGTTATTCTTCTACTTGTCCCATCTAGTTCTTTCTCCAAACATGATACTTGTGATTTCATTACTTTTGTGCATCAGTGGTTTTTGGTAATAATAATAATAAGTGGAACAGAAACTGAATCTATCCCATTGGAACTGCAGTCCTTCAGACTTAAAGGAGAACATTTTTCTGGGGATAAGGTTGTAGAGAAGAACTTGGTTTCTATTTCATTTTTATACTGAGCCCCTCATTCAACTTTTAGATCTTGGGGAACTCCTTTTTCTAGAAATCCAAGTTTCTTCGAGTCATACTGCTATGCTGGGAAGTTGGAAGAGAAAAAGAGTATTCTGCTTTCGTTTCTTGCTAACTAATTTCTTGACTTTAACAATGCCATTTATTTCTGTTCATTTATTTGTTCTGCATATCTTAGTTCTCTCTTTTCGAATGGTTATCTATTGCTACTGCTTCCTAGATCCCCAAAAAAGTAACTTTAAGCTACTTTCAGTAACTCATAGTTCTTGACTATGAATCAATGAAGTTTAGTCAAGTAGATTACGCAAATGTTTATCACCGGATCAGTTATTTGAGTGTATCTTCTATTTTCAACTCCATAATTAAACAGGATTCTAAACTTTACTTGCATCATCTTCTTAAATAAGATGCCTGCGTAAATGATCATGCTATCAGTTTGATTACGACACTAATTTATCAACTTGTGCCTCCTGATTTTTTTTCTGTTTAATTCTTTTGTTATGTGCTGTACTTCAGGTTAGCTCACGGCAGAAGGAAACAAGTAGCACCTCAGGAATGCGCGAGACTGTTGTAACCAGTGCACTTATAGACCACAGAGCAAAGGTATTGTCTTTGTACTCTCTACATTAGGATTTTGTAGTTCTGACACATCTTCAATCAATATTCTCGAAAATTTCAGCTTATCTTCGTTAGCTCTGTTAATTTAATATCTGCTCCATTGGTAAACATTGTATCAGAAGTTTTGACTTATCGTTTTGCGTTGTATTTTCAGGAAGTAGTACCAAAACGCATTGTTCAGATGGAAGAAGCTATACAAAATCGCGATTTTCCAACTTTTGCCCAACTGACTTGTTCTGACAGCAATCAATTTCATGCAGTCTGCATGGACACTAGCCCTCCTATATTCTACATGAATGACACATCTCATAGGCAAGTTGTCTTAACTTCAGGCTGTATCTTGAGTTGTGTTGTAACATAGATAAGTTCTGAACTTGATGATCTCTTATACTGAAAGTGGGAGAAACAAGAAAGTCTTGACGGTGTGTTAACTTTTCAGGGTAATTAGCTGTGTCGAGAAATGGAACCGTGCAGAAGGAACTCCACAGGTTTAAATGTTATCCTGCTATTGTCCTATTAGATAATTGCATGATATGGTTCTTCCTTTTACTAAAGTAATAAAACGGGTCATCAAGATTTCAATCTTTTGAAATATCAAAGTTCTGCAGGTTAAATTGGTCACACAAATTATTTTGAACAGAATAATATCACTCCTTCAGGGGAAATCTGCTTTTATATTTGTAATGGGCAGTGAGTGCTTCTTTCATGACATACCTCTCTCCCATATACTTCATGCACCTTTCTGTGCTGAAGATTTTGCCAACTTCATGATGCACCCAAACATTGAAATTTTGACGTTAGTGACATGACATCAACTGCACCGTATCTCGACACTATAACAAGCAACTTCGGACTTATACCTTTTTGAACACTATAATTAGCCTTGTTGCCAACGAATATCTCAGCTCACATTTTGCTTCTCATGATCTGATTGTGCAAGCTTGACTTCAAAAGTAGTTGAAATGTAGCGTGAATAAATGCATATTCCATTTTTACTAATTAGAATATTTCCAGGTTGCATACACCTTCGATGCTGGGCCAAATGCTGTTCTAATTGCGCGTAACAGAAAGGCTGCCACACTTATGCTTCAGAGGCTTCTTTTCCACTTCCCTCCAAATTCAGATACCGATCTAGACAGGTACATCTTTCATATAAAAGATTCAAAGTTCTAGTATAACTATGCGGGAAGTCATGTTCGAGAAAATGTTTTGAGGAAATGTTTCCCAGTGTGTGGTTTGAGGGTGGTAAATATTTTCCAAACTAGAACTTTTACTAAAGATGGATAATATTATTATCAACCCGCTGATAATGTTGTGACGATTTTTTTAGTAGTAAAGATTGATTATGTGTCAAGTGCTTGCTAAAGCAGTGTTATAAAGTTAAGAGTAGATATAATTGTGAACGAAACCAAACACCAAAATGACTTGTTTGATGGAAACATTCTACATACAAACACACCCTGCCATGATATGCATTCTGGACCTTGTGCTATCAATATGCAACCATTAACCATCTTCAGTGCTCCTTATGTTCTTTTACCTTTCTCTCCAGCTATGTCATAGGCGATAAGTCAATTCTGAAGGATGCTGGGATAAAGGATTTAAACGACATTGAAGCATTACCACCTCCACCTGAAATTAAGGACAAGGTTCCGGCTCAGAAATGCAAAGGTGAAATAAGCTACTTCATCTGCACAAGACCTGGCAGAGGTCCAGTTTTGCTACCTGACGAAAGTCAGGCTCTCCTCTGCCTTGAAACTGGTTTGCCCAAGTAAAAGAGCAATTTCTTTTTTTTACTTGTGCTGATGTTTAAGTAATCGACACAACTCCACGAGATCCAAGTATTGCACCCTCTTTGCCTTGAGAGATGAGGATGCCATTTTAAACTCTCTTTTTTTTTCCCTATGTTTGGATAAAATTTAAACTCAAAGCTTTTGCTTGTAGCTTAGCTTAGTTGTGTACTCTCATCTTTGAGCAATGCAATAAAAGTCCTCAAAAATTCCTCTTTTTTGTGTTTTTTGTGTGTCAAAAGATCATTTAAACTCAACGAGTGTGGAGAATTCAAGATGGACATAATTCTTACAATAAGATTAAAATATGTAGTTGGGAATCAAAACAGAACAATTTAGAAAGATTTTGCTTACAGGTAAATTTCAGTTTTCCTGTTTAAGAATACACTATTTGTTCTTTCTCTACTGTCAAAAATGTCTTCCAGATAGCCTCCTTCATGGCTGGATCATGCATAACTAGATGTCCAACATTTGGTATTTCATGGTAGTTTATCCATGGAAGTTTTTCTATGACGTAACGCTGTAATATAACAGGTACAACCCAGTCTTCATCACCATGCCATAAGTGGACTGAACCATTTGGGAAAAGGTTCTTAAGATCCATAGGATCAAAATCCCATTTCCCAAAACCTACCATCATGTCACGGTGAAGGGACTCGAATACTCCTTGCTTTACAGCATATTCCTACAGATGAAAGAAACAGAAACTTTTGAGCCAACAATGCCTCATCACATAAACAATAATGTATGAACGTAGTTCTTAGTTGTGTTACTTTTAGTGATCAATTCCGCGATTACACTTTTAACTTCCAGATCATAGGCAACAACATACTAAGTGGGGTCTGGGAAGGGTAGATTGTATGTAGACCTTACCCTTACCTCGAGGTATAAGTGTTGTTTCCTATAGACCCTTATCTCAAATAAAACTGTAGTTAGTATGTTTCTTTCATTCCTAGTGGTCAATTTAACCGTAAGGATATGACACTTGGACCTAACGCAATCTCAAAGGCTAGCTCATGAGGTAAGTTCCATCTAACGAGATCAATTTCCCATCCCTATACTGATGTGGGACTTACAGATGGGGGCCAACATCAGGGAACAACACCTAGAGCATGAACACTTACAGATGGGATTGCGGGCCCAACATCATTGGGATGAGTTTGACACTGATACCATGTAAAAATATGGTATCAAGGCCTAATTCAATCCCAAAAGATAGTTGATGAGAGGAGAATTGCCCAAGTCCATAAGGAGACCACCCATCTATTCCCCAACCAACGTGGAACATTTAACACGAGCAAGAATAGAACTCCAATATACTATGAGTCGGAACAAAATTCCAAGCAACTACAAATTCTCCCAGCAAATTTATTACAAGGATCAAACACATAGAAGTGACAGTAGTATAACAGTAAATTGCCAAATTCAGATAGGAAACCAATTACCTTTAGTTTTTGCGTTTCGTTTGCATGCTTATCAGATCTGGAAACAACTTCTAAATCTGGAGGAGACATTTTGAGTTTTCCAGATAAAACACTATTGTATGGGAACCACTTCTGAGTGTTCCACCAGTAGACTAGCCACGGCGCATAATGTGCAACTCGAAGTGCCCATTGATCCTGTGTGAGCTGTAGATTGTATTCTTCTGTGGATAAATTAGCAGGAAAGCTCGGCCACCAGTAATTGACAACGGGAGCAACTAGAGCTGCTCCAGCTAAACTATTCAAACCAAAACAAGATGTAACAAACAATCAAAAACAGAGAATACAAGAATACTAGAAGGTTTGTAAGTAGTCGAGTAATGTCTAGTTTCCCTATCACTATTATTATTACGCTCCTACTATCTTATTCTTCGATTCTAGTGTTACTTGTTGTTTCCTTTGCATCATTTATCATACATTTTGTTGATGCTACTTTTTCTATTTTAATTGTTTTTAGCATGGCTTTTGGTTATTGTATTTTGATTCTGCTTTACTTGAGCCGAGGGTCTATTGGAAACTATGACATGTCATGAAGCGTATCGCTCATGAAAAGTGATTTCTAGACATACCGATTAGGGATGTACTTAAGGCAACCCCAAACTGAATGACCACCCATGGAGAACCCCATAACATAAAATTTTGGGCCAAGTCCGAGTTGATCAGCAAGCTCTTCCATATCCAAAGCTGTAGTTTGTATGGTTCGTTTTGGATGAGGATCGCTTTCCCCATAACCAGGTCTATCAAAAGAGACAACATACGCCCCTAATTCTTCGAGTGTTTCCTGAAAGAAACATTTTAGTCTCAGTTCAATTATACTCAAAATGGATGCAGAAGCACGAGTTTGACAAAGAGTTGATGACACACCAAGGATGCAATAGCTGACTCATATCTGGTAGAACCAAAGCTATGTGCATATACGACCTTATATTTGGCCGTGTCTTTGGGTACACCATGCTCCTTGTAAGCCAAATGTCTTCCGTCCCTAAGTTTGATTCTAGGTCCGGTAACTGTTGGACCATCAGGAGAGCCACAGATTCTGGGAGGTGGAGGTAGGAGGGCTGGGAACGCCCATGCTAGACCTGAAACCAACAAGACAACTAAAACTTTCCCGAGCATACCTGAACACAACGTAGACATAACTCTTACGATATTATTGGAATACTTAGATGACATAGTGCAACCTAAGATATATACTGATTGCTTAGTTGAGAAAACAGAACATCTTTTAGCTGTTATATGAAGAAATGAATGTGGAATACACAACAAGGTAAACAAATTTAACATTTTAGAAATGAATGTATGATAACCTTTGCTTATCTAGAGGCCAATGTGTGTTTGGGGGCAGCTTAAAACCTATCTACGGGGTCTACAGAACTCAGTAACTTTGGCTCAAAAATACACTTAATAAACAAGAACCTATAAAGCTGTGATCTTTTTTAGAATCATGAACATATAAACTCGAAACCTAGTTCTGTCTCTGCCAAGAGACATTTCGTTCTCTCAGCCACGCAAAAACTGGCTACATTCCCGCTCTAATCCTCCTCTTTCTCATGATTCTAATACTACGGTACCTCAAGGGTTCATCCAAACCTCCTTCTTTACAAAAAAATTAAGTGTATACATTATACATAAGGTTAACGTATCTTCGTATGTTTGATTTTTCATATTTTGAACCCCTTTAGTAAAACTCATTGGCTCAATCAATGTAGTTGCATGAATCTTCTATAACCATTCCCCTCAACTCAGTAAATGAAAGAAACTCACCTCCACTAATTTCCTCTCTCTGTTTCTTCTACTTGTCGCATTTTTAGATTGCACTTGCATTAAGAAATTATGTAACTTTACGCTTCTACCCTTATTTATTATTTTGTTAAGTCAACTTTTTAATAAATGATGAATATGAATGAAAATGCATTTGGATGACTATTTAACTTTTTTATTTTTATTTTCAAAATCAATGTATGAAGTACTCTAATGAATATTAATTACTTATTAGTTTTTCTAGGTTGATGAAAATATATATTTTCAAAACTAATTAACTACTCTATCAAGGGTATAATAGGAAGAATATGATAATTTATCCATTGATTTTATGAAATGATAAGTATTATGATCCAACTATTTATAGAAAGGAACTAAGAGTCCGTTTGGCTCAGCTTAAAAGCTTGTCAAAATGACTTAAAAGCTAGTTTTTGACTTATTTAGCTGTTTGACAATACTCAAAATAACTTATTTTAAGTTAAAAAAAAACTTATTTTAAGCCAAAAGTTAAAAGTTGGGGTAGGAGTGCTTTTTTTTTTTAGCTTATAAGTTGTTTTAAGTTGACCACATTTTTATCTTTTTGCTCTTAATATTTTTATACAATCTCCAAATTACCTATATAACCCTAACATTTCTTTCTTCCATTTTTCCCTTTTCACGTTTGACATAACAACTTCAGCACTTTTATCCAAACGCATAACTGCTTATTTTAAAAATAAGTTTCAGAAATTTTAAAAGTACTTTTTTAAAGTTGCTTTTATTAAGCCCATCCAAACGGGCCCTAAGAGATTAGTAATACTAATCACCTCTCTACCAATAACAGGTACTCCCTCCGTCCCTAATTATTTGTCCAATTTTCTTTTTTTAGTTGTCCCTAATTACTTGTTCATTTTAACAAGTCAAGAAAGGATAAAAAATATTTTTACTTATTATACCGTCAATCAATTACATTAAAAAAGATAAAACCTTTTGAAAATCTTAAATTTTTAATTCATCTACTTCATAAACAATAGTTATATCAATTATTGTTTTCTTAATAGGTATGTAAATTCAAAAATGAACAACTGTAACTCTGTGCACTAAAGTTAAAACAAATGAAAAGAAATTAACAAGTGTTTTTGTCTCGAAATTTGAACCTGATACATTGTGATTCTTTTAACCTAATTTACTAACCACTAGACCACCATTGGTGCCCTCCTCTTCATAATCTTCTCAAAATGAAATAGATTTATAAACTAAACAAAGATAACAATTTGGGTGTATTCAAATTGTACAATAACATACCTTTACTAGAATTTGAATGCAAAAAAATGGAATCTTGAAGATGATTAAATGGCTTTGTTGGGATAATATTGAAATGTTGAGCTTTAATGATGGAGAAGATAGGTGTTTGATTAAATTTGTTAGAACTATATAAAGATTTTGCAGAGGTCAACAATGGTGGGTGAACTACCTTCTCAATAAATGGAGACAAAGAGGAAAAAAACAAATTTTGTATGAAAAGTAGTAGCTCCCATTATCATTACCATTTTCGTTTTATGATTGAACTTTTATATTTAGAAGGAAAAAAACATAATTTTTTTTTTTAATTTATTTCGAAAAATCAGTTACACACTTAAATTATCATATAGTACTCTTTTATACTTAAATTATCATATAGTACTCTTTTATGTATCTATACTATTTAAAAGTTAATTTTTTTTTACCGACATGACAAAAAGATAAAACAAAAATTAAAAATAGGTGTGTGTCAGTACTTTTTTTTCTATTTTTATTACAATTTCAAAGAATAACCTTTTTTTTATATCCATAATTAGATTAAAATTCATAGATTTGTTAGTAAATAATTATATTTTATCTATATATGTTTCTTTTGATTTTGTCAAGGATATTTTAGTTATTAATTAATTTTTGGATTCGGCAGTGATGACAATTTTATGAGTTTGATAGTAATAGGTGGCGATAACGATGGTGGGTGACAGAAAAGAAGGATTAAAGGTGATATAGTCCTGATGAAAAATAAAGAAAAAAAGAATTTTCACGTATTTGGCGTGTAATTAACTTTTATATGTTATACATTTAATTATTTTTTTAATAAAAAAAGTTTACACCCACCTACCCTTCTGGTGGTCGTCTCCCACAACTTCATTGTATTAGAGGGAAGAAAAAAAATTGACAACAAAGTATAAATCTTTAATATTAAAAAGAAAAAGACAAATTATTATAATTAAAGAATTGGTGTTTTAATTTAATTGCTAATGTTTAATAAGTAATTAGAAGTGTATTATTACAATATATCTACCTTATTTAAAGTTTATATAGTATAATATTGAGTTACATAGATTTTCTTGTACTTGTAATATTTTTAATGAATTAAACGCAGATCACAAATTTGACCTTAGCTTTATCGCACACAAAAGCCTAGTAATAAATTAGAAAGGATAAACGATAAAAATCACATACTTTTAACGTAATATTATCATTTGTTTTTATAAGCCGAAATAAAGAGACGGACCATAATCCTTATAAAATATTGTGCATATTTTTTAGGAGTTTGGTATTCTTACAAGACATACATGATACTTTACAAGGGAAAAAAAAGATAAATATACCTTCAAACTATCATAAATTGTATGCAAATACGCTCCGTCATACTTTTGGAACATTGGTGTCTCTGTCGTTAAAAAACTAGAGCTTATATACCTTTTATACTAACGGTCATGGACATATACCTGTCATAATTTTATCCACCGATCCGACATTTATCGACGGATAAGATTGCACCACGTGTTCCTATTTAGTATTCCATCAGAGTGAATGGCATATATGCTCTAGTTTTTAGACGACAAAGGCACCAATATCCCAGAAGTATGACGAAGTATATGCGCGTACCATTTACGATAGTTCAGTGGTATATTTGTCTTTTTTTCCCTTTCTTACAATAATATTGGAATGTATAGTTGGGAATTAAATAAACAACTATTTAGAAAGATTTTGCTTACAAGGAAATATTAGTTTTCCTCTTTAAGAATGCACACTATTTGTTCTTTGTCTTCCTGTCAAAAATGTCTTCCAGATAACCTCATTCATGGCTGGATCAAGCATAACTAGATGTCCAACATTGGGCATTTCATGGTACTGTATCCACGAAAGCCTTTCTGCAACGTAACGTTGTAACGTAACAGGTACAATCCAGTCTTCGTCACCATGCCACATGTGGACCGAGCCTTCACCATTACGAAAAGGGTTCTTAAGATCCATAGGATCAAAATCCCACTTTCCGAACCCCACCATCATGTCACGATGGAGAGACTCGAATACTCCTTGTTGTACAGCATATTCCTATAGATGAAAAGAGCAACATTTGAGTCAACAATGGCTCATCATATAAAATTAAGCAACAAGCATACGAACAGAACTATTAGTTGTGTGTTACTTTTAGTATTCAAATACGCTATAACGCTTTTGACTTCCTTGCCTGTATTGTTCGTCTCCCTAATAGCAGCATACGTTTAACTTCCACTCGAAAAAGCTCTTTATCAAGAGCATAACAAAAACCTCAAGAAAAAATGTTACTTAATACCACAGATCATAGGCAACAACATATCCAGTAGGGTCTAGGAAGGATAAAGTGTATGCAGACCTTACCCCTACCCTCGACTCAAGGAAAAACACTCCAAAGAGGTCGCGAAAAAGAAGTAACGGAAGTACAAGAAACACCCGATGATAACAACAACAGATAGTAAAAGGACAGAAACTACATTAAAGCAATACGATAATCGAGGTACAAGGAACAACATATAGTAACAGAAATCAAAGGACAAGAAACTACAGTCTACAGGAACAGTACTACGACTACTAATATGAACAGACAGCAAGACAACACACTGCTAGTGGTCATAGGCAAGCAAATATATTTAAAAATATATTGTAACTTGTATGGTTTTTTCACCCCTTGTGGTCATTCGAAAGTTCCACTTTGAGCCGGGAATAAATTCCGAGCCACTACAAATTCTCCCAGTAAATTTATTACAAGGATCAAACACATGCAAGGGATCATGAAGTAACAGTAAATTGTCCAAATTCAGGTAGTAAACCAATTACCTTAAGCTTTGGCCTTTTGCTTAGATGCTTAGCAGATCTCGAAACGACTTCTAAATCTTGGGGAGACATTTTCGGTTTTCCAGATATAACACTATTGCAGGGGAACCACTTCTGAGTGTTCCACCAGTAGACTAGCCAAGGCGCATAATGTGCAACTCGAAGTGCCCATTGGTCCTGTGGTAGCTGTAGATTGTATCCTTCTGTGGATAAATTAGCAGGAAAACTAGGCCACCAGTAATTGACAACAGGAGCAACTAGAGCTGCTCCAGCTAACCTATTAGAACCAAAACAAGATGTAACAAACAATCAAAAACAGAGAATACAGGAATAACTTAAGTCTTGTTGCTGTTGTGTGACAAGTTACGATAATGATGACATGTCAGTTGAATGTTAAGGACAATATCTCACGAAACATATCATTCATGCGATGTCATTTAAGCGCATACCGATTAGGGATGTACTTGAGGCAACCCCAAACGGAAAGACCACCCATGGAATACCCCATAACATAAAATTTTGGGCCAAGTCCGAGTTGATCAGCAAGCTCTTCCATATCCAAAGCTGTAGTTTGTATGGTTCGTTTTGGATGTGGATCGCTTTCCCCATAACCAGGTCTATCAAAAGAGACAACATACGCCCCTAATTCTTCGAGTGTTTCCTGAAAGAAACATCAAGAACCCGTAATAATCTCAGTTCAACTATACTCAAAAATGATGCACAAGAACAATTTTGACAAAGAGTTGATGACATACCAAGGGTGCAACAGCTGAATCATATTTGGTAGCACTAAAGCTATGTGCATATACGACCTTATATTTGGCCGTTTCTTTGGGTACACCATGCTCCTTATAAGCCAGATATCTTCCATCCCTAAGTTTGATTCTAGGTCCGGTAACTATTGGACCATTCGGAGAACCACAGATTCTGGGAGGTGGAGGTTGGAGGGATGGGAATGCCCATGCCAGACCTGCAATCAACAAGACAACTAAAACTTTCCCGAGCATACCTGAACATAAGATAGACATGACTCTTACAATATTATAGGAATACGTAGATGACATAGCGCAACCTAGGATATATACTGATGGATTAGTTGAATAAAAAAAGAATATTTTTCAGAAAGAATTTGCTTACAAGGAGATTTCATCTGTTATATGACGATAAAGAAGAAAAAAAGAAAGATGCAAGGTGATGATATGAAGAAATGAATGTGGAATACACAACTGAAAGGCAAATGAACTAAACAAGATACATCGGAACCAAATGCTTACAGGTCAATTCACTTTTATTTGGTTGGTTTTATGGTCGGTGTCTGGTTTCGACTTATTTGGCTAACCTCAACCTATCTACGGGTTCTGCAGAATTCAATAACTTTGGCTCAAATCGTGTATATGTATTTAAAAGTTCACTTAACATATATACACCTATAAACTCAAAATCCTAGTTCTGTCTTTGCCAAGAGTAATTTCATTCTCTCATCCACGAAACAACGGGCTACATTCTCACTCTAATCCCCCTTCTTCTCATAATTCTAATACTACATTGTAGTGAATCGATCAATTAATCAACTATAGCTCAATCTTAAACTAGATGACCTCATTTGCATTGTCGGAGCTACGGTACCACAAGGGATTCATCCAAAACTCCTTCGTCAAAAACTACCGTCTATATACAAGGTCAAAGTATCTTCGTATGGTTGATTTTCATATTCTGAATCTCATCCCCCTTAGTAAAAATCCTTGGCTCAGTCAATGTAATGCATGAATCTTCTATAACCATTCCCCTTAATTTAGTGGACGAAACGAACTGATCAATTCGACTATTTCTATGCTAAAACACCCTGTTACTGTCATGTGACCAAGAGGTCACGGGGCCAAGCTTTGGAAACAGCCTCTACTAGAAATGCAAGTTAAGATTGTGTACAATAGGCCTTTGTGGTCGGGCTCTTCCCCAGACCCTGTGCATAGCGGGAGCTTTAGTGCACCGTAGTGCCCTTTTTTAAATATGCTAAAACACCCTCACCCCTTCTTAACAAAAATCTCTTCCTCTTTATTTTACCAGTTTGCGAATACCTCAACTAATTTCACAGAACACTTGTAAGTTGTCACCTCCCCCAACAACAAGTACCAAGTAACTCCGTCCATCAAAATTGACAAATAAAAAGAAATTAACTAGTGTTTTTGTCTCGGGATTTGAATCTGGAACATCACGATTCTCAAACCACTTTATCGATGACACTTTTGGTGCCCTCTCTTCATAATATTCTCAAAGGATTATAGCGACAAAAAAAGAAATTGAATCTTGATTTCACTTTCTAGATAAAACTAATTCACAGATTATAAACTAAATAAGAAAAGAACAAATTAACAAATTGGGTGTATTCAAATTGGACAGTAACATACC